AATTCCAAAAATTAAGCCCCCCCCCCCTTTTTTTTTTTTTTTTTTTTTTTGAACAATAAATTTCCAACACCTTGTGTATCTCCTTGTTTTTCCTTCTTTGTTCTTTTTCGATAGTAGCAGATGCAACAGTGTTAAAGGCCAAACTCGAGGCGTTGTTGGTCAAATTTATAATGAGCTGATCGTACGAATCAGACAAACCTTGAAGTAGGACCTCAACACGTTCAAAATCCTTGATTTCAAAAGTTGAAAAAATAAGGTATTAAGGGTGTTGATGTGATCCGTCACAAATGCAGATTCAGCCATTCAAGATCTTATTGTAAAGTAACTTGGCCTCATACAATTTTGTTAGAATATCTCATATCTCTTTTGTCGTCTTCTTTTCTACGACACTTGACAAAAATATACTTGCCAATGCTAAACGCAAATTGCCAAACAGCATTTTCATCCATCTCCTTCCACTTGTTGTCACTGATATCGCTTATTATGTTTCAATTGCCGCTAAGCAATTGTTATTCCACAAAATTGCTTTCATTTTTAACTTCCACCAAGAAAAATTGCCCGTGTTGAACTTCTTGATCTCAAAACTTTGCCTCCATCAATTTTATTACGAACTTTCACTGGGATCAATTTCCACCGTTTGACGAGAATAGTAACTTTACATGTGATAATTACTCCAACAATCTTAGGCTGTGACACCATTGTTAGGAAATAGAATGTGACCCCTAGATCGCAATGAAAATGAGATTGAGGAAAAATTGGAAATAAAATGAACTCAAACAATTTTATGCGAAAACCCTCCAATTTAATTTGGGATAAAATCCACAAACAAGTAAAGAAGGATTTCTATAGTAGGAGAATTACAACTTCTCTCTAAATACAAAAAGTCTGTTGTAGTAGGAAAAACAAAGTACGGAACACTCAAGAAAAAGATATTGCTTTTCTCTCAATATTCTCTCTATCGTGTATCGCTCAAAGACTGAAAGCTATATTTTTCAATCCGATTCAGTCCTAAAGTGCACATTAGGAACATAAACAGGCAGCAGTTTATATTGCTCGCCAATTGAGCTTGCAATAGAAGATGATGAAGGAAATTTCTAATGGCTGATCTCCTGAACAAGCTTTTCAAGTGCTTCACTTGTGAGAGGAATATATATACAGTCTTGCCCGTCTGAATTTCTTCTGGTCTTCACCAGTTCGTGATCTTTGAATTCCGTCAGATGAGCATTGAGAGTGATCTGGCTACTCACCAAAAAGCGCTCTCGACAAATTGTGTATAAATTATTCAGTGGCATCCCTGGAAAAAGAAGAATATAAATGAACTGATTTCTGTGCAAAATAGTCATTCAGATAATATATAGCCACTTGCCTTCTTCGTTGGGATGGGCTAACTGATGCTCTGCAACAACTTTAAAAACACTTTGGGCATTTGGTGTCAAACTCTGTAAGACTATTGAAGCTGTCTTGACCGTTTGAGCACTTCCACTATGAGCGAGAATGAGAGGAAAGAACGTTCCTTCAATATTATATGGTGCAAAGGTAGGAACATGGAGCCAGTACCAATTGAACTGAGTGTGAACCATCTTCTTGTCCCATACTGACATAACCAATGTAATAATATTAGGACAAAAAGTTTCATATATCACACACATGGATGTTCGATTGTCCACCATATAATACAAAGAATGAATTGGCAGTAATCATGGAAATGGACCACTCGCAAATGGAGATGAAATTTTTTCACTGTATTTTATTTATACTAAATTGATTCATTATATTGTTCAAAAAAAAGTTCTGAAAATCAGACAGTACTTACGTAGAGGTGCATTCACATGATCAATGGACGCAACCACACGGATATGAGAACAAGCTGCGATTCTGGCGAGATACTGTTGAGTGTCAGAGTCGCGCAAGCTAGGCCCATCAATATTATGAACCACAACACATACAAAACATTCTTTGTCCTCCAAGTGTGGTCCATCTAGAAATGCAATAAGATCATCCATGGATTTGGTATTAAATGGCTGTTGGTTTTTAGGAGCATTTTCCCAGGTGGTTTTGCCATGCATTTTCAGTTGATCCCACAAGAGTTCAGCCAATGTTATCACAACCTACAATTTCAATATCCATGATTTGATGTTCAGCATAATAGGCCTAACTATTTTTCCTTTACTAGCTATTAAATTCCTTTCCAACTAACAAAAGATGTCAAGAAGATATAAATATAAGCATTATTTAAGTGCAGCAAATTAGTTTTATCTATTTTAAATTCTACAAACAAATATGGTCAATTCAGCATAAACTAATAAAATGATTATCCATGAATGCATACTTTGGCTACATCAAATATTCAAGTGACATGACAACAAAAAACACAGAGCGGTTTCCTCAAAGACATTTGACAGTAGAAAGAAATTAAAGTAATGTATTTTTAACCCCCCGAAAAAAGATTTGAAAAAAATCATCTTTGTTAATTTGTCAGTAGTCTCTAGTTGCAGTTCAATGATCAAGAATTTGTATAAGGTGTTGGAGAATCTTGACCAGTTCCAAAGATTTGCATCAAGTGCAATGTTACGTTCGAGATATGAACAATCATGATAACTGAATTGTTGAAGAAACATTACTTAATGCATTAAGAATAAAGATGGACAAACTATATTAGGTCACTTGGTGACCATTCCATGTAAAGGTAAGTTTTGTTCCATCCATTTCATTTACGTGTTTAATGTTCACAATGAGAATACTATCAAACTGGTTTACTGAATTCATGGTTGATTGATTTATATTATGAAAGTGTACTGGGTGCATATATGCTGCCGACATAATCACTAACTGTAGTATGGGTTCATAGAACCTCCATCAAATCATGTTCATTTTCAAAGGTTTATAACAGTGAATTCTTGAGAAACATAAGGCATACATACATTTCAGTTTAATTGGTGTCATATTATTCATTTAATTTTTTAAATGTCAACATACAGGGAAACAATCCTGACAAGCTACATTCACGTGTTCGAAATGTAACCTTACATGGTCAAATGGACTAAATCATGTGATGTAGCAGAGCGTTATTATGGAGACTATGGGATCGTAAAACATTATTGTGGATGCTGTGAGACTACAGAATATTATTTTTCAATAAGTTCTATGATGTCTGAAATACCAACATATACCTCCTAACTTGACAATTTTTAACACATCACTTGCTATAAACTCGTATAAATTTCTTTCAACATAAACTACGTCATATTTCTGACAAGTCTCTGTGATGAAACAAGAATAATTGCAACAGAAAGCCGCACTTGAGTTTGATGAATTGCAAATGAGAAGATAATGATATTGTGTTTGTGTAGTGGTATTGAGCATAATAGGAAAAATTATGGAGATATTGTTTGTGTTCCGATATGTAATTTTATTGAATGTAAACTGAATTGTAATACAAAACAGAACAGAGAAATTTCAATGAAATTTGTCTCCCAACAAATCCCACTTCATTTCTGCCTACTTGATAACACTTCAACAGCCCCCTAATTATACTATTTGGCAGATTATTCTCGAATAGAGTTAACAAACTTATAGGACGATGTGAACAGCTTGATAAACTAAGCAAATTGATGAGATAAATTGAATCGATATAAGTGACTTGCACATCTTTCCCAACCATGTTTATGTGTTCGCTTCTCAACGATGTTTAATTATTTCGTTATATCATCCTATCTGCAATAGCTTGATTCCAAAAGCGCATCTACGTTTTGCATTATACTTTCAATTCGGTAAGATAAAAGAAGTAGAAGCAGCTAAGACACAACACAAAAGAATAGACAAACATAAAAATGAAGACAAGAAAACATAGACAGATTATACAATTGTATATTTATACCTGTTTAAGATGGATTTGCTGAAGGTATCCATTAATCACAACAACAGAATAATCGGTCAAGGCAGATGAAGCGAAATCTTCTATCAAGAATTTCTTTGAACCAAACCCATACATCAAAAGCCCAAAGCCACACCTTAAACATCAAAATTATAAATATATAAATCAATAAACAAATAAATAAACTTGAAAAAGAACAACCACATACATCAAAAAGCAGGGAAACAAACGTATTTGAAATGAAAAATACCTTAATATGAAAACCCATTCTGAATATGACTTCTTATAACTGTTTATCAAATCATTAATTTCTCTATCGTGCTTTGGCTCAAGGTTAGCATATGCATCTCTTAGTTCCTGAAGTAACACGTTAAAAATTAACATTTTTCCTATAACTCAAAAAAATAAAAAGATTTACATTAAAAAGACCCAAGGGAAAATTTTAAAAAGAAAAAGAAAACCTGTTCATCAACGATATTAATGTCGGAGAGTTTACATGCTGATTTCTTGCTGGAAGTGCCCAATTCCTTTGCCAAAAAGTAGTTTCTCGAGAATTCAAATTCCTCTTCCTCGACGTCATTTGACTCCATTCTGAAAATGTGATGGGATAAGAGAATTCAGAGGAGAGGTGAAATCATTGGTGGATTTAATTGAGTGCGCCCTAGGAATGTTCCCGCCATTTTTTATTTGGGCTTGCTCATTTTTTGGTTTTAGTCCAGAATTTGTGCTCAGGCCTTCATTAGGACAACGGCAGTTGGGCCTCTCATAAACAGATGGCAGAAATTACATTCCACCCTATTTTTAAAGGCTATTACTCTAAAAATAGAGAGGATATTTCATTATTCACAAATCAGATATTTTATATTTAAATTTTAATTATTAAATATATAATTTTCAACAAGAATCCTAATTAATTTTTCCTCTCTTTTATCTGTTCATATCTCTTCATATCCACCTCTTTTTTCTTCTCCAATCCTATAACCATTTCTACCATTTTCTCCCTCTCTTCATCTTTCTCAATCCATTCTCTTTCTGCTCTTACCTCACCTTCTCTCTACCTCACATTTGCCGCTTGTAAAAACGTTGGAGAGGAGATGGGAGGTTGTCGAAACGAAAAAAGAGTAGCAATGCAGCATCGCGTGAGGCTGCGCATGGTTGCCCACGAGACTTCTTTCTATCTATTGCAAATATGATCGATCGTCACCATAAACTCCGACCATCATCACCGTAGTTTTTTTCAAAATGAACTAATCTATGAAATTTGCAGAGGAAGAATACGGGCATGAGAATTGTCAGGATGGGTGATAAATGTTTTGTGGTTTGAGTAGAAGTATTGGTAGAGAATAATGAAGCTGCAAGATATTTTGGGGCTTTTCGACGATAGCTATAGGTGTAGTGGGAGATTTCTATGTGGTGTTTTTGGTGCAGTGGTGGTGGCAGAGTAGTGGTGTTGGTGGTTGTTGGGATTTTTGTAGCAATGGTGTTGGTGGATGTTGGTTGCGGGAATGCTAGTGTCGAGACAGTTAAAAGGGTGTTTTCTTGTTCTGGGATTATTTATCTTTGTTTTAAATAGTCAATCCATAATCACTAGAAATGAGTGATAGTGGTTTTGAATGGTGACGGTGGATCTAGCGATAATATTGATTTTTGTTAGATCGTCGGTGGATCTAGTGGTTGTGGATTTGACGATATTATGACTAGTGATGGCAATAGGCTCGACCCTTTTAACTCACGAGCTTGCCTTGGGCTCGTGGCAAGTCGAGCTCGTAGCTCGTGACTTTTTAATTTTTAATTTTTTGGATTTTTTTCCTTATCTTTTTTAAATTTACACATTTTTTGCAGGCTCGAGCTCATCATTTGACAAGCCTGAGCCGCCGACGAGCCGTTCGGTCCATTTGACATCTCTAATTGTGACCAATAATTTGGATATCTCGTAACTAAAAAATAATGTGTGATCAATAAAAGTTTTGATTTTGTGATCGATAAATAATCTTTGACCTATATAAAATTTATTTGTGAAATAATTTGTGATTTGTAAAATTTTTTATTTGGTTTTTTATTTGTGATCCAATAATAAATTGTGACCAATAATTTGATAAATTATGACAAAAAATTAATTTGTGAATAATTGATTAGATATTTTGTGGCCATAAAATAAGTTGTGATTTGTAAAATTTGTGATTTGTGACTAATGAATACTAGGCGATCTATTAATTTGATAAATTTGTGATCAATGAATAAATTGTGACTTATAAAATTTTTAATTTGTGGCCTATAAAATTGTTTATTGCACTCGATAAATAATTTGTGAGCAAATTTATAGAATTGTGACCTTAATTTTTAATAAAATATATGTTACTTAATTAGCTTATAAATAAAATTCAAAAAAAAATCTTTTTTTGAAATTTTAAACTTTGTTCTTAGTTTTGAAATGCATCATACTTAATCTCTTATATATTATGAGCTTGTTTGAGCCACAT